TTTAATAGTTTCTGAAAGAAACAGGGCAAACGATGCATCTATAAAAAGATGTTATTTTAGTTACTCTACTGTAACATACTGTACCATACAGTACCTGGTCGCTTTGCTTCAGGAAACAATCTGCAGGGCGCTAACGTGCTGTGCTCGCGGTACAGTCGCCTCCAAACTACTGTAATAACGTACACAGGAAGCGTCTTGCGCGGCTGACGAGGAAACTTTCTGAACGCCGGTTTCCAGCATGTTTCTGCTGCACTGTTCTGCACCCATTGCAGAAATGTGCCGACTCCGCCCCCTCCCCCCCCGCGACCACGCCTCTCTCCTGCTCTGATTGGTTAGTGTGGGAAACCGAGTTCCTCGCCAGTTTGGGGAGATGATTATTACAAGCTCCTTGGGCAAGGCGAGAGGGCGCCAGTCATAAGACAGGCGTGAAGCTGGTCAGCCTGAGCTCTGCTCTGCTCTGCTCTGCTCTGCTCGCAGGCACTACAGAAGACCTGCCCGTAGCTAAACGCGTTGCCCGTGCCAGGGTGCTTTCTCCAAGGTGAGTGTTGGCGTCTGGATGTCTAGGAAGCTGCGTTAGTCGTTGTCAGGCTTGGAGGGTTAAAAACAGGCGTTGCGGTACGTTCTGCGTTTGTGTTTTGTTTTTCCTCCCTCTCTCCCTCTCTCTCTCTCTATCGAGGGAGGCCACGGGAAAACGACCATGATGAGCAAAACAGATCGGGATAGGGATGGTGATGAATCTCCCCCTTTAAATCTTCCTCACTCGCATTCCTTTCAAAAGGCTTTATAATAAACTTTCAGCTTGCGCGGTTTGCCCTGCAGGAAACCAGACAATCCGAAACGGAAATTATGGGGGTAATGTTCCAGATCTATAACTGTGTAAGTCTGGAGGGTCGAAGTATTTGTGGCCGCATATGACTGATGATGGTGTATCGTACAGATGAGAAAATACCGTAATGGCCATAAACTCTAAATAGTTCGTTTCGTTACCAGTCGGAAACTGCATAAACGATTTACTCACGTTATTTGCTTGAAGCTGCATCTCTGTGCAAGATAAAACACGCCTGCGTCCAGATGTTATACACAAACGTGTGTTTAAATAACGCACTAAATTATTAGATTGCGAGTCAGTTGTGAGCAAAAAAAAAAAAGCTGTTCTTCCATCCTGCACACTTGAGCCTTGCATTGTGACAGATGAGTCATTGTTCTTGTGGCGAAATTCTGGTATTTTAGGAAGCTCTTGAGAAGTCATCCGAAATCTCAATCCCCGGATGCCTTTCATATTTCGCAAAAATTCTCTGCAGTTCTGTCCTGTGAAACGTGTTGAGCTGCGTGCCGTGATTAGCCTTCAACAGAATTGTTGTCTTTTAAAGCAGTTTGTATGATATTGGGAGGGGAAAAAAAAGCCTGGCTTATTAAGATAGCTAATTCACCCAGTATGGTTTTTAATTTCTCCCTGTGGTGCATCTTGTGCTTTTTCTTCAGGGAAGGCGAGAGCGTGTCTCGTATAGGCGCCAGACGTACTTTAGTTTGGCTCACGCTGGCGCTGTGATGTGTTTCTGAGAGGCTGCCCCTGTGAACCACACGCTCACGGCAGCAATGCTGTCCGCCTTGGCGCTCCTCAGCCTCTGGGCGCTAGGGGGCGCCCTGGGCCCCCGTCAGACGCCCGTGCCCCTGGTGCCCGACGTGCCCTTCCTGACGGTGTGGAACGCGCCGACCGAGCCCTGCATGAGCAAGTACGGGGTGGACCTGGACCTCAGCCTCTTCAACATCGTGCTGAACCAGAACCAGAGCTTCATGGGCGACAACATCACCATCTTCTACGAGGGCAAGCTAGGCCGCTACCCCCACTACACCACCCGGGGGGAGGCGGTCAACGGGGGGGTCCCCCAGAACGCCAGCCTGCCGGCTCACCTGCGGGCCGCCGGCGCCGACATCGCGGCGGACATCCCGCGCCGCGGCTTCAGGGGCCTGGCCGTGGTGGACTGGGAGAGCTGGCGGCCGCTCTGGGCGCGCAACTGGGACACGAAGCAGGTGTACTGGGAGGCCTCCCGGGCGCTGGCGAGGCGGGGGCACCCCGACTGGCCGCCCAGCCGGGTGGAGAGCGAGGCCCAGAGGGCCTTCCAGGGGGCCGCCCGGGCCTTCATGGAGGGCACCCTGAGGCTGGGCCGCGCCATGAGGCCGGGGGGCCTGTGGGGCTTCTACGGCTTCCCCGCCTGCTACAACTACCAGTACAAGAACTCCACGGCCAACTACAGCGGCGAGTGCCCGCCGCTGGAGATGCGCAGGAACGACCAGCTGGCCTGGCTCTGGAACGCCAGCTCAGCCCTCTTCCCGGACATCTACCTGGACTTGGCGCTGCGCGGAAGGGAGGACGCCATCCTCCGCTTCACCCACCACCGCGTCCTGGAGGCCATGAGGGCGGCAGGGCAGGTTGGGCGGGTCGCCCCCCCCGTGCTGCCCTACGCCCGCATCGCCTACACCTACTCCATGGAGTTCCTTTCGCAGGTACTGGTGCTCACGCTGGTCCTGGGAGCCCGCGAGGGCCGGTGGCGCTGTCTGACTCCGAGCAGCGGCTCTCGGATAGCGGGGCTGCTGGGGTAGGGTGGGCACTCGCCGGCCAGGGTGTACCTGCCACCCCTGCAGAACAGAGGCTCGCCCGCCTTCTCCCTTGCGGGGTGCCGTGGTGCCTGCAGGGTGTCACATGACGGGTGGGCGTGTCTGAAGGGGCCCCTCCCACAGGTCCCGCGTTCCCCCCTTGCTGATATGGGAGTCTTGGGGAACACGGCTGAGACCAAAAGGCCCCGCCACACACAGAATGCCAAAGAGCCTGGTGGACAGGGCAGGAGACCAGAGTCAGACGAACGAAGGCCGTGAGGCGGGGAGGAGGAAGATAACAAATCAGACTGGTACTGAGGTGCCAAAGCTGTGTAGAGCCTTATAGGTCAGCATGAGGATTTTGAAGTCGACATGAAACCTGATGGGAAGCCAGTGCAGGGACTCCAGGACAGAGGTAATGCGATCACTTGCATGCAGCCTGGCCAGTGGTGGCAAAGGTTTTGAGAAGTGGGAGTTCTGAGAAGATGAGAGCCCTCCAGGAGCTCGGTTAGGTTCTACTGAAGGCGAGAGAGGGGGATTGCAGAGAAATGCAAGGGTGTAGATGTGGTGGATACGAAAGAGGCACAAGAAGGGAAGTCCTGGGCAGGAGACTTTATACGCATAGGCGGGCGTGCCTGTTTGAGATCAGGCTCAGAACTCCCTCCCTTCTGTTACAAACTCCATTTAGCAAAAGCCGAAATGGTGGTTCTGCATACACCAGAGATGGGCTGCAGGTGTTGGGTTCTGAGAGTGTTTTTTTTTTTAAGGAAAGGGAGCTGACCTATATCCTTGTTCCGCTTTGTGTTGGGCAGGAGGACCTGGCCCACACCATTGGGGAGAGCGCCGCCCTGGGGGCGGCAGGAGTGGTGCTTTGGGGGGACGCGACTTACGCAAAATCTCAGGTACGTGTTCCCCCAGAGGCGCCTCCCGTTGGCCTCCTCCAGTGTAGCTGCTGACTGAGCTCTGTGGTTGCGGGTTCGAGCCCGCTTCCCCCAGGTGATGGCGCACAGCTGGCTGGGAATTTAGGTGCATCACATTAGTATGTCAGCTATTGTTTTAACATGGGCTGTGGGGGAGCTGGTATGTATCCTGGCACCCAGTGGGCGCAAGGCAGGGAACACCCTGGACAGAGCGCCTGTCCATTGCAGGACACACACAGACACTCACACCAGGGCCAGTTTTCCCAGAAGCCAATTAACCCACCAACATGTGTTTGGACTGGGGGAGGAGACCCACACGATCATGGATAGACCCTGCAAACTCCACACAGACAGCACCCCAGGTCTGGGCTTGAAGCCAGGGCCCCAGCACTGAAAGGCAGCAATGCTGACCCCTGCGCCATTGTGCTGTCCTGAGATGAAACGGGGTAAGCAAAGTTAAAAAAAAAAAAAACTTTTCCTGTCTGCACAGGTACTGATATTGAGTTCAGGTCACAGCTGGAGTGATGCCCTGTTCTCCTCCAAGCAGTGCTATACTGAGTAGCAGTGAACACAGCATGAGCTGCTGCTGGGACTTCTGAACAGCACAGCCTGAGCTGCCCACCCACTTTCCAGACCGGATGTGTGGTGTGGCAGCCAGTGTGCCTTCTCCAAGGACAAGGGCAGGCTTCCAGACAGCCTGTGCTGAGGCTGAGCTGTGCCTGTTTGCAAACTAACCCCAGCACACACACCACGTTGCCGGGCCTGCTGGCTCTCGGCGATGTCTGTTTGACACCTCTCAAGGTGCAAGTTAAGGGGGGGTGGCGACGTGTCGCGCTGACTTCCTGTGTGAACGCAGAGGGCCGCGCGGCCTCGAGAAACCAAGCAGACGAGCTCCCCCGGCCTGCTGGGCTTTCGGGCCTCGATTGTGCCACTGGGGGGAGGGAGAGGCAGGGGCGCGGTACTGACGCGTCTCCGTCTCCCCACCCCCCTCTGCCTCGTCCCCAGGCGGTGTGCGAGGAGATGAAGAGGTACGTGGACGCCACCCTGGGGGGCTACCTGGTCAACGTGACGGCCGCCGTCACCCTGTGCAGCCGGCTCCTGTGCTCGGGCCGGGGGCGCTGCCAGCGCAGGGACAGCGGCCCCCCCGGGGCCTCCCTGCACCTGGACCCCTCCAGCTGGACGGTGGCGTCGGAGCCGGGCCCGCGAGGGCGGCTCTACAGCGTGCGCGGGAGGCCGGGCCAGCGGGAGGCGGAGCAGTTGGAGGCCGGGTTCGTGTGCCGGTGCTACCAGGGCTGGGGGGGACGGCGCTGTAAGAAGCCAGTGTAGCCGTCGGGCCAGGGACACGGGGGCCAAGTCGGGGGCCCTCGGGGGGTCTCCGATTTGGACCTGCCGCTTGAAGCCGGAACCCACCCCAGACCCGGCGGAACTGCACTTCATGAACGCGCTCATCGGGCCGCGGCGGAGAGCGTGAGACTTTGCTACAGACTTTATAGATCATGTGCCACCTCAGCTGGCAGGCGATGCGTTGGGATGTTTGGACGGGCTGCCCAACTCTGCGTGGTGCCGGGGCAGGTTGGCCGAAATGCACAACCCCTGTACGTGCCAAGCACAAAATCCCTGCAGTCCTGGATCTCATGGCCGTGTTTTCACTTGAACCGTCCATCTCTCGGTGATATGAAGGGTAAAGAGCACTTTCTGGGGAAAACTGAAAAGTTGTACCACAGTCGTTTGAAATCGGCCGGGAATTTCCTGCTGCACGGGGCCGTCAAGTACTGTCAACATGGAGAATCTGCCACGTAAAAAAAACACAATTATTTTTGCCTCATCCTCTTCCTTGGGGATATGTTTTTTAATGTTCTAAATGACAATTGTGATTTGTTTTTAACGCTGATCAGTTTTAACCAATTCTATATTTATCTGGGAGTCAATATGTGATTAATAATCTATGTGTACCTGAAATATATGATTTTGTCTTCCTGAAGGTCTAAAAGATGGGAAGAAACCCAGCTATGCTTTATCATTGCATCATCCAGCCTTAAATGAATCATTAATAAGATGCGTGTGATGCAAAAAAGTGGTGTTAATCCTTCTGTAGTGTGTGGAGCACTTGGGTTTTGGAATAAACTATGGTTGCACTGAACACAGGTTACCCACACACCCTCTGGCTTTCATTCCACCCTCTTAATTAGGATTCAATTGAGAAGTTGCTTCACTTCTTATCCGGTAAAGCCCTGCTTTGTTTTAATGTTCAGTCTCGTGCCACAGTGAGAGTTCCTTCTTGTCGCCAGTAGCTGTATCACCCCCCAGCTCACAGCTGGCAGCCCCACTGGAGCTCAGCAGGTGTGGGCCTGGCCAGTACCTGGAGGGGAGCCCCCTGGGAAAGCTGAGGCTGCTGCAGGAAGAGGTGTCAGTGGGGCCAGTAGGGGGCGCTCACCCTGTGGTCTGTGTGGATCCTAATGCCCCAGTATAGGGACGGGGACACTATAGTGTAAAAAGGTGCTGTCGTTCACAGGACTGGGAAAAACCAATGTCCGGACTCTGGGGTGCTTGAAAATCCCAGGGAGCTCTGTGGTGCTATTATGAAAACATGATAATACAATAACAGATAAGGCTCATTAGTGCATTCGCAAACCTCAAATTTGGAAGAATCTTAAAATTCTTAGTCGAACAGGTAACATGCCATTAATATCTGTAGTAAGTACAGTAGCGTGTCTTTCTAGTCAACAGCAGTTCAGTGGCGGAAGACTGCCCTCTTGTGGAAATGATGTGTAAACGACTTGTTCCGCCAAATTTCTAAGCAATCCAGCCTTTGGGCTTCACTCTGACAGGGTTTATCTAGGTATACAGCTACTGACGTGGAACACAACCCCATTGATCGACAAAGGATTATCTGCATGACTATCCCTCTTAATAAGCCCCTAATCATTTTAATGCTTTTTTTTTCAAAACCCGGGATATTCAGCATTCCCTTTCATTCCGAATGGGGAACAACTGCGGGCCAGCTTGCTCAAGACCGTCCATTCCTGCTCACTGCCCCACTTTCTGAGGCCACCTGAAGTTCTGCTCAGGCCCCACCTCCCGAAATTTGGGCCACCCTAAAAGACATCCTCTGGCATGATTCCCGCACGGGGGGGCTGGTTCTTTTCCGATGTCTGATCTCAGATCGGTCGACTCTCCTCTCATCTTCTGGCGAGGTCTCCTCGTCAAATTTCCCACCTGTACAAACAAAGGCTAATTAGCAGTATGATGGGGTTTTTTTTTTGGCGCTCGGTACACAAAAAATAATCCCACTGCTGCTCAGACATGACGTCGCACATCTGCCCTAGTTTGCAAATCGGACATCTTAATTCGTAAATACTAGTTTAAAAGCGTACAACTTACTGGTAATGTGGGTCAGTTTTCATTACGTGCTTGTAAATTACACTCATACTGTAGATGGCTCTGCAAAAAACGTTAGTGTAAACTCGAATGAAATGCTCCCTTAGAGTGATTTACCCTGTCCAAAGCAATGGATAAGGCTCAGCGCGTGGTAAGTTTATTTCTGAGGACTGTAAGGCAGCAGCAGACCAGACCTCTTCTTCAAAGTGCTGGGCCTCCGATGCCTCTGGAGCGTCAGTGCAGGCAACGGCAGGCCTGGCTCTTACTGTACGCCAATTCAGACAGACGCGCTGAAAAATGTTAAAAGCAAGAGCAGCTCAGGCCAGGAGTAATCACTGATCCGTCCCCAATACTTCTGGCAAAACTGTGTCAGCAGCTGTGGGCTGAGCGGCCAGGCATCGGCACGCACATGTGTGGCACAGCTGGACAGCTGCACTCAATGAAATTCGTTGTGCTCAGGAACTCGCGTTAACCCGGTCCCGCTGGGATACAAGTCCTTTCACGTTATGTAATGTAGCCCTTGGGAAACCTACTTAGACGTGTCGTGTCACCGAGAAGGTCGTCATGATGTGGAGATCGACTAGCACAGACCCGAGTCCAGACGCGGAACGGTATCTCGCTCCAACTTGAATACTAAACAGTTCCTCCACACCACCCAAACAAAACCCCCTTTTCTCACCTCAGCATCCAAGTCAGGGTCGCGGGAGAGCCCATCTCCCCAAGCAACAGCGCAAGGTGGGGTACACCCTAGGCGGGGCGCCAGACCCCTCCACCCCATAAATAAATCCTAAATAGCGCGCTGTTGTTCATGCGGAAGACTCCCCCCTCTCACGGACAGCTCTCACCATCTGCTCCCTGCAAAACACCTGAACGTTGCTACAAAACTTCCCAACCTCGGGGACGATGAATAATTAACATCTCCAGAGCGACGTGTTGCTAATAAACATCCCCTCTCCCCCCGAGCACAGGAGTGCACAGCGCGGATGGAATGGCGCGTCAGGAAAAGCCGTACCTCACCTCTGAGGGTCTCTACACGGTAGACCAGCTGGTTCAAAGGCTCGCCTTCAGCCACGGGGCAGGACCCAGCGTCTGCACATGTGTTTCCATTTATCCTAACGTGTTACTGTTTAGCGCGCAGAGACACAGATCTTAACCAGAGCCCTTCAAGACTCTCCCATTACCACGCTAACTATGGGCATGCCCAGCACAGATTGCGTGTGATTGCAAACACGACCCGCATACTGCACACGGAGATGCCAACCCGCTGAGAGCCGACCGCGTAGGACTCCCAGTTTCACGGTTTGCGTGCCTAGGCCTTGGACATTCTTAGCAGAGTCCAGATAATGTTTCAGTGGAGATCCGGAAAAAAAAACAAACGTTGTTTCCAATGGTTTACAGGTAGGCGCCATCACGCTGCGTAAGACAACTGCAATGTCCATCAAAATCACCTCTGTGAGCACGGTAAGGCTCTTCTGAACCGTGACAGGTCGCTGCGTCATTTGCGTAACAGGTATCGGGTCGTAGTAGCTTGGGGGTGGTTTGCAGAGTTAAAAAAAAAAAAGGTAAAACACTCGTCCCGCCCTCTGCACCAAGAGATACCCACGAAATCGTGGAAAGGTTCGTGTGTATTAGCATGGCCATGAGACAGTTTAAGTGGTTTTAAATACATGCGTGATGAGCGTCTACACGGAAAACAGCAAAGTGGTAATAATAATAATAATAATAATAATAATAAT